TAAATGGTGTGAAAGTTATCTTATTTATAATCAAATAAATTACAAGGATATGGAAATAGTAATAAATGAAAATAACAATAAATGGAAAGATACCTATGATAATAAGGCAAATATTAGATATTTGCCTTATAATAAAATATCAAATATGATATATATGGTAAACTATAAATTATTACTAAATATCCTTAACAAATACATCTCCATTATTATAAGGCCTTTTGGGGAAGTCCAAAGCAAAGCCACGAGAGCTTACGCTCAAAGTGGACAATATCATACCATTGTGGAGGGTTCATGATTCCTAACAGACACTTCTATTCTTGGGTGTGAAGTCTTATTCATAGGATTGAGATGGCTGAGTTTGAAGTGGGATTATTGTTCCAAATTTAGTGTACACAATGGAATCTATTGCAAGTCTCTCTTATCTTATAACTCATCTTCATCTATATAAATTCCACCTTACACCTTGTTTTTACTCAGAGTCATGATTGAATCTAATTCCTTGAGCTGCTAACTGCTTAAGTAACATGTTTCAATTGCCATAAGATGGCTATTTGGGTCACCATGGTAGTTCATATGAGGTGGAGGAGTAGATTTAAGTCCAAGTTTAGGCATCTCAATAAGGATATAAATTGATAGAACAGATAAATCTTATAAGTCTGAAAAAGTGTTCTTCTCTGTACAAATTCTACTGAAGCTATACACATAAGAAATCCTTGATATGACCAATCATTTCAAGAGTCCGAGTCTGTGAGAGTTGTGATTTGTTCAGAACCTGAAACGCATGGCCAACTCCTTCATGAACCACATAATTGATCAGCTTACCCTCTCTATGTAAAGCAGAGCAAAACTCCAAGTTCCTATCTTTCAATATGTCCAATTCCGATATACATACCAAACTAGGCAAAACCCTCAAATTCTCCACCTTAAACAACCCTTTTGCCGAAGGATTACACCATGGGTGGTCACGGTTTGCCCCAAACGGCAATGCCAACCGCCAGTATGTATCGGAAACCGCCATCGTCAGTGCCGAACGAGGAGGTTGGACCAGAAACTTCTCTGATTTGGTCCTTGACTCCCCACCAAAAAATGGTTGTATCAAAATGTTACCTCTAATAACCAACGGCTTCAAGACCACAGCTCCAGAAGCAGTTGTCTTACCACCAAGTCTGGCGGCTACATTGAAGGCTATGTTGCCACCCGCACTATCACCACCAAGGTAGATTCTGGTAAAGTCACAGTATCTTGACCACCAATTCTGCTTGCCCCCTATAAGAGCAACTTGTTTCAACCATGAAATGGTCTTTAATCCATCTTCATAAGGAGCTGGAAGAGGGTTTTCTGGTGCCAAACGATAATTCACAGACATAATTATACACTCAGCTTTTGCAGATACCTTGGCAAGGAACTCATGGTAGCAGCTCCAAGCTGCCGAGCCAACACAAAATCCGCCTCCATGGAAATAGACAAGCAAAGGAAGTTTCCCCTGGCACTGTTTTGGGATATAGAAACGAGCCCAAATGTTACTCAGCTTATTCACAACTACATCCCAAGAAGTGACACCGAGCTCTGGCGGCAATGCATTAGAGACACAGGGAACTATCTGTGCTCTTTCCACATACCCATTTCCGTAAACTCTAATGAGACCTTCAATCTCCTCAACCAACATATCATGTTGATCAAAGCCATTAACATGTTCTTCGAAACTTGGAATCTGGCCTAGGTTAATGGTAGGCATTCCGGGGATGCAGAAACTAAAGGTAGAGGCTTTTGAGAGTAAAATTAGTTATGGGCGAAGGTATAAGCTTCTAATGTTCCTTATATAGATGATGAAAAGATGAGTATCGTGGTCTGACTGGACATCTATTCTATCTAGTTGGGGTTGGGGGATATTACCCTCTCTTTTCCTGCCAAGTGGGCAATTGGCTAAGTGCCACATGTTTTGACATTACATTGATTCAAGCACAATAAGCTAAAACAAGGACTTGTCCACTTTTTTCTCCTTTATGTTGTAGGAATGATATATAAAAGGAAGAGGTTCACATGTTTTAGTCTATGCTGTAGTCAAATTACAATAGCAGAAAACAAAGATAGAGAAATATATAAATAATGCAAATAAGAATAGTGAGGCTTACAGTTCAAGAATGCAATGCTTTTCCAATGCCACTTGCGACCTTTTTGAAATGGCTCACTTTGAATGCGCTTTGTCTGAAAAGCAAAGTCTGACTTAGCTTGCTTGCAATGGTGTATTCTCGGATAGGTGGGTTGTTATGGCCTACTGCCATTCCCATCAGAAAGCTCTATTATTGCGTGCTTAAAGTTCAAGCACAAGAGAAACATGTGATGTTGATTGTCTGGTTTCAATTCATCTTGACGTTAGGCCTCCTGTGTCTTTAAACGCTTAAAAAATTAAGAAAAATTTACATCGAACATCATCATAGCATTGTCGCGTCTGTTGCACAGCTACCACAGCCACCACGGGTACCACACGCTATAATAACTGTCCCTGAACATGCACCAGCCATCACAATTGTTGCCTCCCAAAAGAAGTTCGGCATGAATCATCGATCTAGCATCGCCTCTTTCTTTCGGGACATTTCACAAACACCTTGTAGACGCCTCACCTAAGAGGGAAAAAGAGAACACCACCATTAAATATTCTTTATCCCCATTAAATTTGTTGGGTGGGACCAAAAAAAGAAGGAAAAAAACCCCATCTCCATTAAGATTCATACACTATAAGTCTGCAACTATGATAATTTAAATGGTAAATGCCCCATATAGTGATCTCCAATCAAGACAGACATTCACAAAAAACATAAAAAGAATATAGATATTTTGAAGTCTTCCATTATGCGTGGTTGTAAATCCCAGCTTCAAGGGTCAAACCTGACGCATCAATTGTGCGCAAGCATATGTCCGTTCTGTCCCGAACCTAATTTGAATCGTAAAATTGCTAAAAAAAAAAAAAGAAGAAAAAAGAGCGAAAATCTCCTCTTCAAATTTCGATTAGACCTTTGGTGTTTGAGACAACACGATTTCCACCGAAGGCTCTGATTCCATTGCTTTGCTAGTGCGAAGCTTAAAGTCAAAGACCAAGAACAGTGCCTGCAAAGTTGTTAGTTCAAATTCCAAATGGTTCATGAGCGCCCGAAACGTGGAGCCAAACTCAATTGAGTTTGAATCCGAAGTGGTGTAGCGCTAAGTTTTCAAGCTTCTTGTTCATGTCTGTACTCTGTCGGAAGATCATGATTGCACCATTTCGGGAGAGAGGAGAAGTTTTTTTTTTTTTTTTTTTTTTTTTTTTTTTTTTTTTTTTTTTTTTTATTTCTTACGGCGGGAAAAAACTAAGAGAATTAAGAGACGCAACGATGTCCCTTAAAACGGCGCCGGATTTTTATTATTTCTTTATTTAATATGAATGAGGAAATGTTATTAATAATTTAGTTAATGTCATCTTTTTAAATTAATTTTATGAATAATATATATATATATATATATATATATATAAACCAAGTTGTAAATACTAAAAAAAATAGTTACAAAAAATGTTTTTTTATTTTTGTAATTGGTCTAAAATTTTAAACTTTACATTAAGAAAATAAAAATTATTGTAAAAAAAAAAAAGAAAAAAGGGAAAGTGCCCCTTCCCGCCCTGCCCGCGTGCTCTCATGCGCGCGCCCCCATCCCCTCCCCGCCCGCGTGCACTTGTGCGTGCGCGCTCATCCCCGCCCCGAACAATATTGACTATTAGTGGGCTTGGACAGTTACAAATGGTATCAGGAGCCAGACACTGAACGACGTGTCGTAAACACAATTTAACTCAAAACTTCAATTTTCTTTTTATTTTTTTATATATATGTAAAGCCATGTTTATTAGAAGTCAAGATGAGAATATGGGTTGCTACATGCATAACCTACTATGTCACAATCATAGTATAAAAACAATAGGTTGTGGTCCCTACACATGCGTAGATACGGTGGCAACTTTCAAGTGAGCTTCCATCCAACCACGTGAGAGTTGAGACAAGTAAGTGTCACGACGGGATAAAGAGGATAGTGCATCATTTAACGAACCAAGAAGAGTGTGCATTAAAACCAAGCTGAGACATAAACAAAGTTGATAAAACTGAGATGACACGAACGTCGAAGACAAGCTTCAAAAGGATCAAATAAGACCCCGACCCTAACTTTATATATATATATATCAAAGAAAGTATATGGGTTAAAAAAGAAATGGATAGATATGGATAAGGGACAAAATCTAGGAAATCGAAGCAAATGGGAAGCCAACTATGTTCATTCTCCAGACTAATTCCCACATTCTCTCATCTTTTTATCCTCATTCATTGTACCCTTCAAATAATATATATATATATCTATATATATATATATATCTATCTATATATATATAGATGTGTATATATATATATATATTTTAAAAGAGAAAATGGTGGTAGTTGAAAATGAAGCACCAATCTCTTTTTGGAAAAGTTCGACATGTATGAAATGGATTATATTTCTGTAACATATAATCCTTAATGTGAGAACATGAAATTAAATATAAAAACATGTCTACCAAACATTATATTATTTTTAAACTAATGTTAAATTAAAGCATTAATGCCTCCTACTTTATAATTTATTTATTTTTAATCAAAATATTTTTTCATGAAAGCAAGTTGTAAAAACGATAACTAATTTAAGTGGAGGAGAGTGTCATAACTATACTAAGAAAACAGTAGGTTGTAACCCCTACATGCAGACAAAGTATCGACATGAAAGTAGTGTGCATCCGACTAGGTGAAAATCGAGACAGATAAGTACCATGATGCGACTGAGGAAGACGGTGCAACATCCAACACAACAAGAAGAGTGTACATGAAAACCAAGTTAAGGTACAAGTAAGATTGGAGGGAACGACGACAAAGTGTCAAGGCTTAAAAAGGACTAATAATGTGAGTCATACGTTTGTTGGGAAGGAGAATGAAACACTATTTCAAAAGGGTGTGGAAACCTTCCCCTAAGAGAAGCGTTTTAAAAGCCTTGAGAAGAAACCCGAAAGTGAAAACTCAAAGAGGACAATATCTGTTAGTGGTGGGCTTGTGCCGTTACAAATGGTATCAGAGTCAGACACTGGACTATGTACTAGCGAGGAGGCTGTTCCCCGAAGGGGGTAGATGAGACGAGATGTGTTAGTAAGAACACTAGTCCCAAAAGAGGGTGGATTTGGCGAGGTCCCACATCGATTGGAGAAAGGAAAGAGTGTCGGTGAAGACGCTGAGCTTCGAAGGGGTGGATTGTAAGAGTCCCACATTAGTTGGGACGGAGAACAAAACACCCTTTAAAAAGGTTGTGAAAAGTGAAGCGGTGGGCCGGAGCCGGTACAAATAAAAACTCAATCATAATCTCAAAAGTCGGGTTCCGACATAAGTAGATTAGTCGAATATTCATACTTTTTGATTGGGTGAATAAGAAACTCAATCTATATAAATATTAAAAAGGCAGAAGAACAAGAAAGAAAGAGCATCACCGCATGGCGTTAACGAATCATTCCTTGCACACTGGGCGGCGGCGGCGGCATCGCAGCAGCACGAGCAGCAATCCTTCTCTGCCTCTCCACATTCCCATGCCACCCTACGCCCATGCACGTAAAACCCATCACTATTTCAACACACCAAATTTACCATTTAAGTTAAGTGACAGAGAAAGAACCAAATGACATGTCGAAGCCTTGGTGTTGAAGCTCCCTATACTGTTGGCATAGCGCACATTGCTCACACAAGCAATGGACACAGCAATCACAGCAAGGGCTCTCCTCCAACGAGAACTGTCCCCTCATTTTCGAGCGGTAAAGGCAAGAGTACAAGCACGAGCATCCCGTTAGGCATAGTATCGACAAGTAAATTGCGCCGCTAACGCCACACGCTGCAGTTTTCAACACAAAGAACCATGTCAGATTTTGAATTTCTCAATGAACTTAATGAATATTACATATTGATCCTCTGTCTACTATCTCTGCTATGTGGCCGAACGTAATGCAGGGACACCAGCAAGTCAAACAGCCTACAAAAAAACCAATTATCAGACAGACATGTTGTAATGACGGCGCAGTTCATTCAAATTTAATGGGATGGAAATGAACTTACAGATACTAATGTCGTTGCAGCAGTCGCAGAGACCGCTGGACCAAGCAACTGTGGAGTGAGGCTGGGGTTGGCAGGGATTTCGGGGGTAATCGACCGGCGCCGCCATGTAGGGGTGGCTGAAATTGGCAGAAAAAGAGGGTGGTGGTGGCGGGGACGGAGGCGGTAGGGGTGGTGCCAATGGTAAAGAAGAGAAATTGGCAAGTTTCTGCTGATCATCCATACGCTTGAAGAGTGTTCATAGAAGGGCTGTGTGTTTCTCCTTATTGGAAATTTTCATAACTGAGACAGTTCCAAAGGGGTGAAAGGGCGGTCGTGTCTCTTCAAGATAACCGTTTTTACAGTTGTGAATTTTTTGATATACGAGAAGTAATTTATATATTAATCTCCTTTCATTTCACTTGGTCTTTTTAATCTACTGGTTTATGAAGTTAATGAAGCAATTAATATCCAGAAGAAGAAGAAGAAAGTTCTACTTTTGACAGCTTACGACGATGAGGTCGAACGGCTTCCCAAAACTGCAGCCAAATGGGGTGCAGAGGATCAACAAAGCGATCATTACCCACAGTTAGAGAGAAATTTGGATTGGCGTGAGATCCCACATCGGTTGGAGAGGGGAACGAAACATTCCTTATAAGGGTGTGAAAATCTCTTCTTAGTAGACATATTTTAAAATCATGAGGCTGGTGGCGATAGGTAACGGGCCAAAGCCAACAATATTTGCTAGCAGTGGGGTTGGGCGGTTACATATGGTATCAAAGCCAGGCACCAAGTGATGTGCCTGCAATGATGCTGGACCCCCAAAGAGGTGGGTTGTGAGATCCCACATCGGTTGGAGAGGGGAATAAAACATTTCTTATAAAAACGTAGAAACCTCTCCCTAACAGATGCGTTTTAAAACCGTGAGGCTAACGGCAATACATAACAGACTAAAGTGGACAATATCTGCTAGCGATGGGCTTAGGACAATTACACCAATCAAATCAAGTCAGTAACAGCAGGGAATGGAAAGTCAGTCAGAAGTTATTGGTCACTTACTTATTTTAAGCTTGGAATCTTGTACTATTATACACTTGATTGATTGTTACAGTAGTAGAAGTAAACTCCAATACTCAGAACAAAAGTAGTTTTATTCAAATGAATGAAGTTAACAAAAGGAGATTGTAAGAGGTATGAAGTTCATGCCTGTGCCAGTTCTTCTCTGCGGCTGTCAAACCGATACTGCGTTAACACTTCCCTTGCTCGTGCACTCCGATGCTGAAGGCGCTGGTGAAGCATCTCCGACATCTGGTCGAAAAATTCGATATCCCATCTGTGAATCAGCAATGGATCTTCTGCATAACAGATGTATATGGATGTAACGGCACTTTCCACGACCACTATTGCAAGGCCTGCCTGAATATTAGAACCAAAACTTGATTAGTGAGGTTATAAACAGTGAGATCTCACCTTTATTGGGAAGGAGAACAAAACATTTTTTACAAGAGGGTTGAAATCTCTCCCTAGTAGATGCGTTTTATAAAACCTTTAGAGGAAGCCCAAAGAGGATAATATCCTATTAGTGGTGGGCTTGAGCCGTTACAAATGGCATCAAAGCTAGACACCGGGCAATGTGTCAGTGAGGAGGTTGAGCCTCGAAGGGGGGTGGACACGAGAAGGTGTGCCAGCAAGGATGTTAGGCTCCGAAGGGGAGTGAATTGGGAGTCCAACATCGATTGGAGAAGGGAATGAGTGCCAACGAGGACGCTGGACCTCGAAGGCAGGTGGATTGTGAGATTCCACATTTGTTGGGGAGGAGTCAGCCCAGAAGGGGGTGGACACGAGGTGGTGTGCCAGCAAGGACACTGGGCCCCGAAGGGGGTGGATTGGGGGGTCCCATATCGATTGGAGAAGGGAACGAGTGCCAGCAAGAACGCTGAGGCCAGAAGGCGGGTAGATTGTGAGATCCCACATCGGTCGAGGAGGAGAACAAAACATTCTTTATAAGAATCTTGAAATCTCTTCCTAGCAGACGCATTTTAAAAACGTTCAGGAGAAGTTCAAATAGGACAATATCTACTCGTAGTGGGCTTAGGCCGTTACAAATGAATGGTTACATAAACCTCAATTCATAGACTAGAATCCTCAAGCAAAAATCTGCAGAGAATTTACCATAACCATTCCCATCAATGTTGCGGTACACGCCACCATCGACACCTTATCCTTCCACTTAAACCATGTCCAAATGCCCGAGCAAGTCCCAGCAATGAGACCGCCCATGACGGTGCTCATCAGCAGAACAGCACCTGAGCAATCATAAGCAACAAGAGCTTCAACTCCAGTTGACTGGAACAGCTCCCACGCATCCCTAGCTGAACGGTTGAAGCTTTTACCATAAACTGCTATCTGAGGCGAAAACAAGCAGGGCAACCATACTAGAAATTCATAAAATTCAGAGTTTATCAACATCAATTATTCGAATCGACATTAGCTAAAAGGGACTACCTGGACATATGCATATTTGTTAAAGAAACGAACAAGAGTCTCGACGAGATGAAACAAAAAATCAACACAACAAAGTAGACACTCGTTCTTGCCGATCTTCGATCGAATTCCCCTGATCTAAAAAGGTAACATACAGCTTATCAACGCACAGGGAGAGACAAAATAAAGAGCTTCCATGAGTACCTACCTCCCACCGCAGTGTCCGAATGGCTGCTGTAAAAAGAGATCCATAGCAAATGCTACCAAAAGATGTCGTCACCGCATACCGTGAGGCCCAAGCCAATGACTTCGATGGCAAAGATGATGATTCTCCACCACCATGGAATAGAACTAGAAACACCATTCCAGAAACTATAACATGTAGAGTATTACAAAAAACAGCACCAACCCAGAATAAGCTTATGGAGAAAACCTGCAAATAGAAATGCCAAATCATAGAAACTCAGCTAATGTTCCACATAAAGCTACATAAGAAAGAGAAAACTTGTCAGCTCACCACAATTAGCCACCAACGTCCACCGTCTCCCATACTCGAAGCCACGATACCAGCGACTCCGAAAGACCAAACTCCCATACACAAAAGCATGACAATCATGAAAGTATAAGCAACTCTAATAACTTCAGGTAGCCCGGATACCATCTTTACAGCCTTTTGCAACACTAGCAATGTAAATGGTAGTCTATGGAAGCAAAAATGCATGGTCAGAGAAGACTGCAATGATCACCTAATCCAATATGATATTCCAATATGATATGATAATGTCCACAATGATATGATAAATGTCCACTTTGAGCCTAAGCTTTCATAGCTTTACTTTTGGTTTCCTCAAAGGCCTCATTACCAATGGAGATGTATTCCTTACTTATAAACTCATAATCAACTATTTAATTAGCCGATGTAGGACTCCTCTCCCAACAATCCTCCCCTTGAACAAATCACACCATAGAGCCTCCCCTAAGGCCTATGGAGCTCTTGAACAACCTCCCCTTAATCGAGGCTCGATTCCTTCTCTAGAGCCCTCGAACAAAGTACACTTTTGCTAAACACTTGAGTTACTTTTGACTATACCTTTGAAACTCACAACTTCTTTATTCGACATTTGAGGATTCTATTGACATGGCTAAGTTAAAGGGTATGGCTCTGATACCATGTTAGGAATCACAGACCTCCACAATGGTATGATATTGTCCACTTTGAACATAAGCTCTCATGACTTTACTTTTGGTTTCCCGAAAAGACCTCATACTAGTAGAGATGTATTCCTTACTTATGAACTCATAATTAACTCCTTAATTAGCCGATGTAGAACTCTAGAAAAGGAGTCGAGCCTCAATTAAGGGGAGGGTGTTCGAGGGCTCTATAAGCCTCAGGGCAGGCTCTATGGTATACCTTGTTGGGGAGGATTGTTGGGAGGTAGTCCCACATTGACTAATCTAGTAGAAGATCATGGGTTTATAAGTGAAGAATACTATCGGGGAAGCCCAAAGCAAAGCCATGAGAGCTTATGCACAATATCTTACCATTGTGGAGAGTCGTTATTCCTAACCAAAAGCAGGAGAATTTCAGAAACACGACAATAAATCAAGCTCAATCAAGGTCAAGAAGAACAAAAATCTTCATGGTTCAAGCTCGTACCTGTCTATAACTGATATAACATACAGGAACTGCAGCCCTGCACCGATTGCAAACGCTACACCCCAGAAAAAAAGCTGGCCCCAGAAGCACAATACACTTATCACAGCAAGATAAGTAGTCAAAATATGCACAGAAATTTTCATTACATGATTTGCAAAAGAACCAAGCAAGAACAACCAAGTCCAGCCAAGTAAGGTTCCAACTCCACCTGCCAAAGCAAAAAGCGGCCAGTAATCCTCTGTCAATCCAACCCGATTCTCCATAATTGTATTGGTGAACTTATCGATTTGTAACCTATTGCTCTTCTTGAACCTATTAAGCCCCAGAATCACGAGCACAAATCCCACAATGATCAAGTGAATTATAAAAACAATGGACCAGAAAATATCCCGCCAAGAACGTGGCGATTCACTCGACAACGCTTGGCCTCGACCCCGAGCTGCATTCTGATCAGTTATCAGTAAAGTAAACGAAACCCAGTGAGGAAAAAGGCAGTAAGAACATGAAATTGAACAGAACGAAGCCAGATTAGTTGAATTTACCTGGAGCTGATCGGCGGTAGCAACGGAGGCGGAATCAAATGAAGAAGAGGAGACGCTGCCGGAGTCGGCGTCCATAGCGAACGGATTAACAACTAAGGAGCATTGTTTTGAAATGGGTTTGAGAATTGGAGGATTTTAAACTGAAACATACTGAGGTTGAGAAGAACGTGAAAAGTGGGTAAGAAAACGACAGGGGGAAGGGATGAATCAGTTGCCTTTTAGGGCTTTCTTTACAGAAAATAAGTATCAGAAGTTTGGACAGCATCACTCCGGACACCTCCACTCATGGACAATCAATCATGCGTTCAACTCATATTCTTTGAATCTGTGTATTCATATGAATGATTAGGGGCGATAATAAAATCTGAATTTTCCATTACCAAATTTTATGTTTTTTTTTTTTTTTTTTTTTTTTTTTTTTTTTTTTTTTTTTTTTTTTGTTAGTCAAACAAAAACAAAATTATCAAAATTATGTAAAGAAAATTAAAAGTCTATAAGATGGAATAAGTAATAAGTGGACTAGAGAGATAGCTAGGAATCACAAAGAAGAGATAATTATTATAATAGTAATGACGAAAAAATAAAAAAGAAGGATCATAATTCTAAATTAAATTTAAATCTTTTTTGAGCTATAAATACTTCCGAATTTTGGGTGAGATATCACTTTGGAAGAGCTAGAATTCTAATCTTCTGTCACGATTTACCGGTCAAGGAACATTTTTAAGTAGACAATTTCTATAGAGCATAGGCCTTCCAAGAGGTAACGGAGGCATGCAAAGGTTTCCTCGAGTTAGACGAAGATTGACCTTCGAGTGCAAAGAGAGAATGGAGCTTAACTGCAAGACTCACTAATCGTGCCGGGACGAAAGTCGACCTTTAACAAATATATTTTCAAGATTTAAATAAATTCGGAGAAAGAATCCACATTTAAATCATTTTAAGCTAAATTATAAAATATGAAAAACACTATTTTCTAAAGGCTTCTACCAATTAAATATTAGAAAAGAGATAGCTTATTTTATAATAACCAAAGCCTAAAATAGAAAGAAAAAAAGAAAAGAAAAGAAATACAAAAAGTTGAGGCCGTTTGTGGGAGTAATAAATCGCAACGGTTATATCCTGGGACATCTCAGTTTCTTTCCATTAATACCCCCACGCTATCTAAGAATTTACGAATTTTGCCACTTACCGTTGCCCAGTGGTCCATATTTTATAATCTATATTATAAGGACCAATAGAAAGTCCACTTTCCGTAAATCAACGATTAGCGCTTAATAAAAAAAGGGATTTAAGAAATTGTTAAGGCGAAAATTTCATTAATAAAAGAAAATAGAATTATATACTAATCAGCATTTGTTGGGCGAGAACCCGACAAACGAATTAGTAAGGTCAAAACTGACACGTGTCCCTTGCTGCTGTGCGTTCCCGAGGATTGACAACGCCGAATCCGTAGGCGCGAAGGCGAAACAAAACGTTCCTTCAGAATCAACCGGTATCAGGTAATTCTTGGCCGGCAACGGCAGTTCCTTCCCGTTGGTGAAGTGAAACGACACCGTCGGCACTTCGACTCTCGACTTCGACGACAAGTCGTAACAAGTATCGAACAATGCCACGCCACGTGCGGACTGCAAATAGGGCGTGCTCTTCACGAAGGCGTCGCGCAGCAAGTTGTAAACGGTGGTCTGCAATCGCGTCACGGCGGTGCCGGAGTCGATGATAATCCCGCCGTTCCCGTCTTGGCTCATTTGGAACGATGTCTCGGGAATCGGAAGAATCTCACCTCCGACGCTCAGTCCCGTCACGCCGAGGTAGAAGAACGTGTCCAAATTAGGGTTCCGGTGTAGCGGCGCGATTACCGCATCGGGAGGAATCGGTGAGTTGAAATCGAGAGTCGAGGCCGAATCTGAGTCACGGTCCACGAGACAGTATGAGAACGACGAGGCATTAAGTTGAGAAGGAAACGAAAGCGAGCCGCCGCCGAGTCCGAGCAAGCCAGCGGCGCCGACGAACAAACCTTCATTGTTATGGCCGCAACCTAGGGCAATATTACTGAGAGAAGTCGAGCCAAGAGTGACAGTTTCAGTAACAAAATCGCCATCAGTGGAAGAGCCGTCGCCATAAGAGACCTCGTAAAGACAAGTACCATTCCGGCACTCCGAAACATCGAGTGATCTACATTGCTCTGTTTCGCAGGACAGAGATGAAAAAGAAGTAGACGAAGTCGGCTCAAAAATCGGATCAGTTTGCTCGTAACAATCGGCACAAGGCGCACATTGAACCCAACTTACATCACTGCCAGTATCAAGCACCATATAAACCGGACTCGGCGGCCTACCAATTCCAACTCGAGAAAAATACTCACCACTCCCCTGACTGGCGCCTGACACAATCGGACTCTCGAAATCCTCAGCCCTAAATCGCGAACCACCGCCATTCCCGAAAGTTCGAAGATCCGCTCCAGTAGTACCTCGAATGACTAGATCTATCCTAGCAGTCAAAGATCTAACACGAGCGGAGTCGCGGCTCAGTCTGGATAATGTAAGCGATTTGTAGTCACTATGCGAGGTTTTCACAATCGAAATCCTCGAGTTCAACTGCAGAGCCAAAGAAGACGAATCCGATACGGACTTCTCTTCTTCAACCGGAGACTTAACCTCAAATGCAAAAATCTCCGTAGTCCTCTGAATCGAAGCCGCCACATCGAGCACCGAGGTCTTAGTCCTGTGAGGCAAACTCCGGGAGAGACCGCCGGAAGCAGAGGCGAAAACAGCAATAAGAAGGAATAACCAAATCTTCGCCATGGACATTGAAGTGAGAAAGGATAAGCTAAAGAAAAGGGTGCGGCAGTAGTATTTATACTGGAGAGAAGAAGAGAAGCCGCGAATGTCAATTAGTAAGAAAATGAGAGTTTTGAAAGCCGCGAATAGGATTACAATTTTATTATATGGTTTCATACTTTGTATTAAGATGATTATTTATATAATGTGACAATTAAAATGTTAATTGCTTTTATCATTCGAATATAGTCTAATTAATATTATGTCGAGAGTGCGACCAAAGTTATAAATTAATTAGATTAAAAAAATTAATAGATCTTTAAAGTCTCAGTGTTATTATAAAAATATCAATATCAATAAAAAATTGATAAATAAGAATTTAACCATTTTAAAATGAATTTAAATTCTTTATTATTAATATTAATGTCGGATTAGTGATATTTTATCGACATTTTTCATCGATTTTACTATAATATAATGAAAATGTAAATTCACCTCTCATGTCGAACATAAAAATAAAAAATAAAAAATAAAAAAAAAGTTTTTTTTTTTTACTCCAAAAACAAAGAAAATATCGTAAGAGTTGTCCAATACTTATATTATACCAGTTTCCTACCTATCTCCATGCCTTTGGTTATGAAGACTTAACTTACATACACCATAAACGTATAACCCAGTGGGGATGAAGAAGTTCAGCAGCACCCGCCACTCGCTGGTTCAATTGAACTTAACAGCCCATTGCCTCTGAGCTGCATGCAGTGTTCTTCAGCATCAGCCTGCGCACAAATGATCACCAGTGACAAGCCATTGCAGTGAGCTTCTTGCATGATGTTAACAGCATTGTCCAGTGTCATTCCAGGAATCACTTTCATCAGGACTTGAACGACGTATTCTCGTCTGTTGAAGTCGTCGTTATGCAGAATCACACGGTATGGTGGCGTCGTTTTCCTTGATCTCCTGAACAATCCAACAGAGAAGAATGAAACCAACGCAGTTGTGCAATGAAACATTCAAGACTAGATTAAACATCAACTTATAACCAGAAGTCTGCCTAAGTTGCACAAACTTAGCCCGCTCGGTTCCGTTTTAACAGTCAAAAAAAGAAAAAACCAGCGATTTTCGATCATTGCAGTTCAGGCTCATACCACTCGTTTTTTCTCCTTTACTTCAACTGCAATACTTCTAATGCCATTCATTTAGCCTTCAGAATACAAAGCTCAATGTATTTAGTTAATGACAGTCAGGTAAAGGTACAAGAGCAAGACCAACTCCAAAAATGAATGCTTTGTTTCATATATATATATATAGATATAAAAGGATGCACTCGGGAGCATAAGCAAGTTCAGTGGTTTTAACCTCTGACTTTCGGGAGCATAAGTTAGTTCAGTGGTTTCAACCCCTAACTTTCGGGAGCATAAGCAAGTTCAGTAGTTTCAACCTCTGACTTTCGGAAGCATAAGCAAGTTTAGTAGTTTCAACCTCGGGAACATAAGCAAGTTCAGTGGTTTCAACCTTGGGAACATAACCAAATTCAGTGGTTTCAACCTCAGGAACATAGGCAAGTTCAGTGGTTTCAAACCTCTAACTTGTTTCAACCTTGGGAACATAACCAAATTCAGTGGTTTCAACCTCAGGAACATAGGCAAGTTCAGTGGTTTCAAACCTCTAACTTTGTTTTTTTTGGTTTTCCAAAGTTCAACATGGCACACGGCTAATAAGGTGACCATGTCTCTAAAATCATACCCACCATTGCATTGGCGATACAAAGTGATTCATACATGTTAGGAGACACATTGCTAAAGAGTAGTAGTCTTGATTTAGAATTTGAATGGAAAAGATTAGCGAAAAACCATCTAACCGTTAGTCTTCGGACGACCCTACACCAGAATCTGTCGATCTCTTTAAGGTCTTTAACTGGTATACTTTATTCTTTCCTTGTCCCCTTTTCTAGTTCAGTATATAGTAATCTTTTTCAATACATAATACATAACCATAGGGTCTAATGTTTAGTACCTCAAATCAAACTCAGATTCTCTTCCAGGAGTGGCTTTCTCAATAACAGGCCTCTCCAACAACCCTCCTCCTCCTCTTCCTGCTGTTGTTGCTGATTTAACAACGGATGCACAAAGGGTTGAGCATAGCCCTTTACAGACAGAACTTCTGTCCCCTGAAATGAAACTTTTATAAGAAGCTAATATTATCCATTGCTAATCTAGTCATAGTGCTGCACTTTGAAAATTAAGATAAAGTTGTAAAAGGAGAAGAATCAAATCATAGAAATATCTCAGAGCAAATAAAGTGTAACTACCCAAGCCCACCGCTATCAGATATTGTCATTTTTGGGCTTTCCCTTCCGAACTTCCCTCAAGGTTTTTAAAACACATATGCTAGGGAGAGGTTTCCACATCCTTATAAAAAAATGCTTCGTTATCCTCCCCAACCGACGTGGGATCTCACAATCCACCCCCTTTTGGGGCCAGCGTCCTTGCTGGCACTCGTCCCCTTCTCCAATCGATGTGGGACCCTCCAATCCACCCCCTTCGGGACCCAGCTTCCTTATTGGCACATGGTCTCGTGCCCATCCCCCTTTGACAAGGAGCCTAATGTTTGGCTCGGATACCATTTGTAACTGTCCAAGCCCACCGCTAGCAGATATTGTTTTTCAGGCTTTTCCTTCTAGATTTCTCCTCAAGGTTTTTAAAACGCGTCTGCTAGGAAGAAGTTTCAACACCCTTATAAAGAATGTTTTGTTCTCCTCCTCAACCGATACCGATGTAGGATCTCACATAAATTAATAAAAGTAATCTTAATCTTCAAAATAATAGAAAGTAATTAGTTCATTTATAGCAAGAAACGAAGCAGCTTCCAACGTGATTGACAACTAAGCCATATGCAAAAGAGAATATGGAACAAAACAAAAAAAAGCATACAAAGCAAAGTACAAAGCAAAAGAATAATAGAAGAATAGCCACAAGATGGGAAAATAAAGAGGGATCCTATATGCTAGGCAGCTTACAGATCACACTAGGATAAAAATAGGAATTTCTTTTATAAATCTAGCATAAGGAAGATGCCACAGAACAGAAGATTCTTGAACAATGGAATATAATCCATTCAAGATATCTGCATACACAGAAAATCCTTTTCCACAAAAAATATTGCACTTTTTGGTCTTATGGTACATTCCTTATAGTTGCTGACCCTTCGCTATCAAATTATTCCAATCAGCTCAATGCAAACAGATAAGTTTGGCACCATGGCACAAGAATCGAAACTCCATAGATCAATTGAGATCATCAAATATCTTAGTAAAAGCAAACAAACTTGTTCATAAACCAAGTTTAATTGGGATTAAAAGATTAAAACCCAGAATTGAAGTCGAACTCACTCGGAAAATAAGATAGATTAGAAGGACGATGTATGTGCGATTTCTCGAGGAATCAGCAATGGCGGATGAAAATAAGTAGAATCAAACAAGATTTGATGATGAGCAATGAAGAAAAAGAGTGAATTAAAACTTGTACCTGGTTTGGGGTTGAAGACATGGTTGGGTGAGAGAGCTAATTTGCCGCAAATCGCAATCTCCATGGCTTCTTTTCTTGTCAATCTGAAGCGAAAATCGGTTCCGATGAGGAATAATTCTTCTAATTTCTTCAAAAGATTACAAAATTCAAAGGAGAAAATAGGAAAAATGGAAGTGGACTGATTCGTTTTCAGAGGGCGAACTGCAAAAAGCCGAGGGAGGAGGAAGACGAAAAGGAGATTCTAGAAACGACGTCGTTTTGATAATCGAAAGTCCAACAACTGGGCCTCCGAACTGTTGTGCTAGCAAGGCTAGAGGCCCAACTTATTATGGGCCTTTGGGCCCTGGTCAATTTGGAATGAAGTTCGTGTGAGGGTTAAAATAATAATATTACTATAATTTAATAAAAAATAACTTATTTCATAAAATTATAAAATAAAAAATGTTAAATATAATAAATTAATAATTAAATAAAAATGTGGAATATGAGTTTATTATTAATAGGAAAATTAGCACTAAGTAATCCACTTATAAAATATTCCAATTAATTGATTACACCCCACTTAAGATTGCTTATACACATAAACGGTGACATAATGAGTACCCACTTATAAACTTCTCTTAATATCTTTATTTCTTTGTGCCTCACTTTTTCCAAATTTTATTATTACAAAATTGTTGAATTTAATTTTGAAGTCTTTGCCACATTTTAGGACAAAAAAAAAAAAAAAAAAAAAAAAAAAAAAAAAAAAAAAAAAAAAAAAAAAAAAAAAAAAAAAAAACATGATTTCTCAATGAATTTTTTTTACCAAAATTAAATGTTTCATTCCGTTCGGGATCTCACAATCTATCTTTTTGGGCTCACTAACATACCGACTAGTGTCTGACTTTAATTCCATTTGTAATAGCCTAAGCTCACCGTTAGCAGATATGACCTATTTTGGCTTGTTAGTCAGTCTCACAGTTTTAAAATGTGTCTGCTAAGTGTCACAATCACACTTTGATGGCAGTGGACTTGCGATTGTGTGACACTCACTTCTCAGTAGCAAGTGAGTTAAGCCTATTCGTTCTTATGTCGCTACGGCCAAGTAACGTATGCTCGAGCCTCTGGCCCCGGTTCAAGAAGAAAGCTTTAAAAAACGGGAGCAAAGAGATTTCGAAAGAGAGTTTTGAAAACAAGATTTAAGAAATTGAAAATGGTGTTATATGGGAATGTAAGCAAGAGACAACAACAACGACTTACTGCATATAACTATCGAGTAGGGAAAAGTTGACAACTAGTCATATCTCTCTATAGTATATTTTGAGGCATTTCAAGTCTAGTAACCCCAGACATAGATTTTTCCAAAACGTCATACTCCCTAAAAATACAAAAAGGAAAACATTACAACATATAAAGACATAAGGGTTTGGCTTGTCATAGATATTTATTTAAAAAAACGTTCATTTATTTAAACTCAACCCAATTCAAGTAAGTTCATAACTCAACTTAAACCATACTTACCAGTTGGGTTGATCAAATTTTTTCGATCCGAACACCCAACTAGAAATTAATTAAAAAACAAACAAACAAACAAAATGAAAATAAGAACTATAGTTTATAAAGTAACATTGCATCATTAACAAAATTAAGTCAAAAAAGCTACAAAATCCAACATCAAGAACTTAGATAAAGATATATATATAT